AAAAGCCCTTTTTATCATGGCACTCCTGCTGCTGACATTGATTTTCACTGTTTTGTGTGACATCAATATTTTTTTCCCATAGACTACGAGTGGAAACGAAAGGCTGTATCCTTCACCCACATCCTACATCCATGAGAACCATTTGCAGCTGTTTGAGTTTGTGGGGAAGATGCTCGGGAAAGCCGTATATGAGGTATGTTTGTGCGTTCTGAAAAAAAATCCTCATTTGGTCACCTCTCCATGAACATCTTGGGCGAATGTGTAACTGTGACTTCTGTATCCTCAGGGTCTCGTTGTGGACGTCCCCTTTGCCTCCTTCTTCCTCAGTCAGGTCATGGGTCACCACCACACCACTTTCTACAGCTCCATCGACGAGCTGCCCTCCCTGGACTCTGAGTTTTACAAAAACCTCACTTCCATCAAGGTCGGCTAGAATTACACTTGGACATTTAGTTTTTTTACTAATGTGTCCCCTTTTCATCTCATAACTTTTATTTTATTTGTTTTTCAGCGCTACGATGGAGATATAGGCGATCTTGGACTGACCTTATCTTATGATGAGGATGTAATGGGCCAGGTAAGAACATAATATGTGGATTTATGTGGATTTTAATATAGAAATTAATCAGTTAAAAGCTCCTTTTTATATTCCCTTACAGCTTGTCTGTCATGAATTGATACCCGGGGGGAAAACCATGACAGTGTCCAACGAAAACAAGTATGTCAATAATACATAATCCAAAAACACAATTGAAAAAAAGAGTGGGGTACCAACCGGTTTTGAATCTTTCTGATTGTTGAGAAGTCATTACAAATCAGTGTCTACGTCTGATCTAAGCTCTACCACTTCCTACAGGATCAGCTACATTCACCTCATGGCTCACTTCAGGATGCACACGCAGATTAAGGAGCAAACGGCAGCTTTCATTCGGGGTTTCCGCAGTATCATTAACCCAGAGTGGCTGCACATGTTTTCCACGCCTGAGGTTCAGCGTCTTGTCGCTGGAGACAATGCTGAGATTGATCTTGATGACCTCAAGTAAGGGACATTTCAGACTTTTAAATGATTCTTCGTTCATTACTTCTTCAACCGTATACTCAATGTAATTGACATTTTATTTATATTTTCTCAGTAAATGTGTCGCAAATCTAGAAGGAATTTCCCCTTAATTCAGAAGTCTCCTATATCAAACCCTTTGTTGGCTGTACAGTAAGGTTTTGCCTTCATCTATGCTTCTGTAGACATAGATGGTAATCCTTGTTGTCTTCACCTCTCTTTCTCAGGAAACACACCGTCTACTATGGAGGTTTTCACAGCAGCCACCGGGTCATCATCTGGCTGTGGGACATCCTGTCCAGTGACTTCACCTCTGAAGAGAGGGCTATGTTCCTTAAAGTAAATTGTTTGTAACTGTCACAATCAAAAGCTGTTTTATTTTTACCAGTGGTTTAAGATTGTATCATTCATTTTGGTGTATGTTTTTACAGTTTGTTACCAGCTGCTCCAGGCCACCACTTCTAGGTTTTGCCTACCTCAAACCACCTTTCTCCATCCGCTGTGTGGAAGTTTCAGATGATCAGGTAGGCGTAAAAAAGAAGAAAATAGATGGAGCTTGAAATGTGTTACGCATTCATGTGGGACATTTGTACTAACAGAGCATTTCATGTGTCTAGGACACCGGAGACACACTTGGAAGTGTTCTTAGGGGCTTTTTTACAATCCGCAAGAAGGAGCCTGGTGGTCGACTTCCCACTTCATCAACATGCTTCAACCTGCTCAAGTTGCCCAACTACAGCAAGAAGAGCATCTTGCGCGACAAACTGCGCTACGCTATCAGTATGAACACAGGCTTTGAGCTCTCCTAACTCATTTGCATCAAGACAATCTTCACAGGAGAGCTGTGTTCAGCAGCCTGGGCCGAGTACGAGGCTCAGCAAACCTGGACTGGATTCTGACCAGTCAGAGGGGATCAACTACACGAAAGGGGAATCATGGAGAATCTATACCTCTCCTTTTTTCTCTATTGATAACTGGAGGAGCTCTGCTCTACTTCAGCCCACTCCCTCACATCGAAGGGGATGCTGTTTCTGCAACACAATCTAATTGTTAGCATCCCTCTTTTCTACTCCCAAAAATCAATATCTTGTGTATTTAACTTGATGAAATACAGACATACAGTGGCTGGATCTCTGTTTCTCAGGCTTAACAGAATCACATTTGGATCTAACACTCCCTTTTAGGCGAACTGGAAAGCAATACAGACTCAATGCAAGCCATTATACACGTGGTGGACTCACTCGAGTGAAACCAAGCAATGCATTGTTAATAAACTTACAAGCTTGGACTCCATTATCAAAGCAACTTTTAGCTGATATTGGATGAGTCTTAAACATGCTGAACATAATGCATCTTTTATAAATGGAAGACAAATCAGTGTCTTGTGTTCGACCTCAACAAAGGAGGAGTGGCTCACAGCTGTAATCCTGTGTTGATTACATTATGTCCCATTTACGAGGAAAATCATTTTGACCTCACTCCATTTCTCCCCACTTAAAGACGCCACAGCCATCTGAGATAGACATTGGCCCTCTGGTTTTTATGATCTCATCTGGTTATCTAACATCAGTCTCTGTTCTGGTGAAGCAGCAGAATTTACGCAAAAAAGAAATCGGATTCCTGTTGTCTGATTTAGAAAAGATGTCCTTGCTGTAGCTTTTTACTTTTGAGTAAAAAAAGAAACTGGAAATGTTTGGGCACTATTTATATCTGCCTGGTAAAGCAGACACAGCTGTTCATTGTCACACATCTGTATTTGACCTCTACTCCTAAAGAATGAGGAGTAGTCATGTAAGTCTTCATACTTAATAATAGTAAAACTGAAATCTCACTACACCTTTTAGTAACGCTGAGTGCCTCATAACGTCATCCCCATTGCGCTCTTATTTTAACCAATTACCACATATATTGGAAACAAGCCATACAAAAATGGGGGCTATATACCTGGACTTATTCTCTGCTACTACTAACAAAAAAGTGGAAAAAAAACAACTACTCTACAACCACTGCAACAACAACAACAACAACAACCAAGGAGGGTTTCACTGCGATGTCCTCTGATCTTCTTGAGCCATGTGGAAAAAGAGTCTGGGGTGTAAAAACCTCTCAACATGATGTCATGGACCGGTTTGATAACCAAAATGTGACTGCTCGATTTGATGTTCCCTCGGATTGTTGCACACCTGGGACCTTATCAGCCTAAATATTACTTAACACAGGGTTCAAATAGATCATTAGTAATTTACCAGAACATGGACTGCAACTTTCAAAGAAAGTGTGAACAAAAGAAAATAAATCTAATCTTAACCAAGTTCTTTATTATGCAAAAGGTGTTATGTGTCCTGAAGGAGTATTGATACTTGTTAATAAGTAACACAAGCTTTAGAATATAAAGGTCATGTTTCTAACTAGTAATATCATGGCCAACCTTGTGTGAAAATTAAAAAAGAAGTTTTGCAAATAATTATATATAACACTGGTTGTACTGAACTTACCTGCAGTCTAATGAGATTTACTATTGTAGATCTGACAAATCACTCAGGAGGATCTTGCTCCAGCTTTTCTCCTTTTAATCTGTTCTGGCGATAAGTGGAAACACTGCAAATGGATTCACACCACATGCTAAACTTGAGCGTGTGCAGGAGAGATGAAAGATACCTCACAAGCTTGTCTGTCTCGTGATGAGGTCGCTCATCTGTTTTAAAATGATGTCAAGAGTAGGTTATACTTTAAATGTACCAGTGGACTGCTGATGCTGACCTTTGACTATCTGCTCTTTTACTACTAAAATAATAAAATGATCCTTGAAAAGTCCCTGCCCTCCCTGTGAAAGTTTTCATCTCTTCTTAAAGTGTTTTTAAGACTGGCTCCAGTACAGTATTGAGTGTGTTTAAAAACAGAGATTCCCATGTAAAATGTCCATTTGTTATATACATTATTTCCCTGTAATGTTAAATATTGTACACTGCTATTATATAAATCATTCTCTTTAAAATCCATACAATACAATGAGTGTCTTTTCCCCATCGAAGCATTGGCTGACAAAGTTTACATGTCATTAATTAGTTAATTGGAAACACCTGCTGAGGGCGGGACAATCTGCGCACGGGACAGAAGCCGTTGTTGACATGCTGGTGATTGACAGGAGGCTGTAGGGTTGAGCGTTTCCCAAAGACTAAATGTTCTTGTTTTCTATAATAGCAGTGGCGATCCGTCAGGGCCCTCTAGGCCCTCTGTGAGGGCCTAAGATATTCCAAAAAATAATATTTAAAAACATTAAAAAAAAAAATATTTTTTTAAAATATATATTTTTTTAATATTATTTTTGTTATATTTTTCCTTAGTTTTACCGAAAAAAAACTTGATTTAATAAAATAACATTTCCAAATAAATAAATCCTTCGAATCTGCCTGTTCAGTCTCTGTTTGAATGTCAGTTACTATATCGGGCCTCTGCGATTCACAGAACTGAACGAGAGAGTAATGTCAAATGACAGTACAATTGACCAATCATATCTTCCCTCTAAATGGGTGGGTTTTATCCATCCTTATCATAGATTTAAATAAAGTGTTTATATATATCTATGGGTTTTATTATCGCGGACTTTATGACGAGTTCCGCCCGCTGTGAAACTTTTCTTGTTTCCATAGCAACAACAACTTCCTGTCAACAGCGTGAACTCGCCTTCAAAATAAAAGCATGCCAAATTACACTTAAGACATACAACTGCAACGAAAGTAACAAACACAATGCAATATCATTTTCAATGTCAAAGAACACAAATTGGGTTCACAGGTGTTGTTTTGTGTGGTAGAGGGTCGCTGTCATTGATGCGTTTTGCACCCTGGGCCGTTGTTTTGATATTCCGCTGAAGTATAGCTGTGACGTAATAACTCTTTTTTTCCCTTTTTTTCGAGGGAAGGGGTGGGGGTCAGAGGGCCTAGGTATAAAGCTCACGGCTCGCCACTGTATAATAGGATACATGGCGAGTTATGCGCATGTCTGACTCATACTGCTGCTGTTAGAAGTATTTCCTCTAAGCTCCACCTGAACCTGCCGGGAAGTCATGAGCAGTCCGCAGAGCCCCTCTCCACACCGATGGTTCAACGCGCTGCGAAGGTAACGTACCTGAGAGCCAGTGGATGGGCTTTGTGCATCACCTGATTGAGGGTGAAGTTAGTTTGAGGTTGGGAATTAGCAGACACTCACTGCTCTCTTTATTAGAAGGACGGCTGTTACAGGATGCTTAACTTACTTTCTATCATCTCTCTTAACCACAGGACTTTACTAAGGGACCATCAATGAACTACTATTTGAATGACAGAAAAAACATTGTTGTTAGTGCTAAATTCCCCATATAATACTAAAACAAATTATTATTAAATTATAATATTAATTCAAAAAAAATAATATTTAATTATTATATTCAATTATTCTTCGTGACAAATCAAACAGATGTGTCATACTGCTTAGTCACTGGGTAACATGACATGGAAACTAGTACACAAAATCAAGACCTTTCTATAAAAAACAGCAACAAATATAAATAAAATAGAAGATACAAAATACAATTACTAAAACTGAAATGATAAAATATATCAGGGAGACATGTGGCGCAGTGGATTAATGCGCTGATCTTCGAATCAGAGGATAGCAAGTTCGAGTCCCACTGCAGTCAGCATGTCGTTGTGTCCCTGGGCAAGACACTTCACCCCAAATTGCTCCTGTGGGGATTGCCCACAGTATTGAGTATGTAAGTCGCTTTGGATAAAAGCGTCTAACGAGTAACATGTAATGTAATATATATGTAAAATCAATACACACACAAAAACACTTCAGCAATCAAAAGAAGGTGTGCCTAATGAGAGAGATTAATTAAAAATGTTTTAAGCAGCATTTTCACCAGTATTTGCAAGTTGGCAAAAACATTGGTTTTGTGGCATTAAAATGTTAACTGGGGTGTTATGTACTGTGGTACCAGATTGAACTTGTTAGGATTTTCACTATTTCTTCCTACCACTGGGGCTTTACATAACATGTGCATTGGCTTAACTGCACACTAACTCTATTCAGAACGGAAAGGTCCAGCAGTGGAGAACTCTTGATTGGAATAAACATGAGTGGAAAAACAAGGGTGTGCTATTCGTGTCAAAGGAATGGCCGGTTAACATGCAGAAGGTAGGGTAATAATGGAGTGAAGATGTGTTTTATTGCCCTGTAGTTATACAAACTAGTTGCTTGGCTGCTGTTTCAGGACCAGGCTGGGGGAGCCCTGTTTGAAGACATACCCTCTGGAGTGTGAGGGTCTCCTGAGAAGGGCGAGAGTCACATTTCAAGCTGGACACACCCTCAAAGAGAGCTTCAGAGTGGCACAGCTGGAGGCCGTGGTGCGGATGCTGGAGGAACACGAGTGTGACTTTGTGGATGCTCTTGGAAAAGACCTTCATAAGGTGAGGGGTGAATAAGTCATCTAAATGGTGCTTTTTTAAAACATCAGACTATGACGATGCAAATTGACATAACGGTCCATTTAGTGATTACCGGTATTTTATTTTTCATCCAGCCAAGGTTTGAGGCAGTTGTGTCAGAACTTATTCTCGTCAAGAATGAGGCCCTGTATGCCATCAACAACCTTAAGAAGTGGATGCAGCCGCAGCATGTGGAAAGAAACCTGGTGAGACTATTGCCCTCTTTTTTTCCAATATGTCTTCCAAATATTGGGATTATGAATGATTTACACAACCTTTTTGGAGAGAACATTTTGTCCCACTTCTACAAAGAAATGATTGTTCTGTTCTTCTGTGGCCGCCAAAGCAGATTAAAACTTAAGCTGCCTTGACATTTTCATAAGAGTTAAGTGGGCTAATGTCTTTTTCACAAGAGTTCGGTTTCACCTGTAACCTAATTTTGAGCTCCTCTGATTGGTGTAGTCCACGACGTTAGACGAGTGTCTGATGGTCAGTGAGCCGCTGGGGGTTGTGTTTATCGTGGGGACCTGGTGCAGTCCTGTGGAAACATGTCTGGTGCCTCTGGTAGGGGCCATTGCAGCAGGTACAGAGACTCAAGACACTCAGTTAATCAGTTTAAATGGCATATCATTTTACACACAGACCTTATGATTTCATAATTCAAATTTGTGTAGGAAACTGTGCAATCATCAGCCCCTCTGAGTGCACCGCTCACACTGCAGAGCTCCTGCATCGCCTTATCCCCTTCTACTTGGACAATGTGAGTAATGGCCTAGAAGGACAACAGACCTTTTTTCTTTTGTTTCTCAAATATTCTAGTAAATGCTTAGTAGGTACTTTGATAAAATAGGTTGTGTATTTTCTTTAACTTGTTTGAGCATATTGACTTATTTGTATGATTGCACCAAGAAGTAGGACAACCTTTGGTCTGATTCCAAAGAGAATTAAATAACCACTGAATCTGCAGTTTTACCATTTATTAATTCAAATTAAGGACCTACAATATAACATTTAATCTGATTTAAAAATCTTTTTTTCTCAAGGAATGCTTCCATGTGATTCTTGCAGGCACACGTGAAGTTGTGGAACTGAAATTTGACCATGTCTTCTTTACAGGTAAAACTTCAATATAAAACACTTTTGAGAGTATTTATTTGATGATTTTTTTACATGAAATGTGTATGCTGGTCAATCCCTAGGAAACAGGTCGGAAGGAACCAGAATTGCTCAGGCTGCAGCTCGCACACTCACGCCTGTCACCCTCATTTTGGGTGGAAAGAACCCGTGTTATGTAGACCAAGACTGTGACATTGCCACCACGGCACAGCGCATCGCCTGGGCACGTTTTCACAATGCAGGGCAGAGCTTGGTGGCTCCTTTCTACATCCTGTGCCACACGACAGTCACAGCACGACTGGTGCAGGCCCTGAAGTGTTGCCTCATGCAGTTCTACGGGTCTGATCCCAGAGAGTCAAGCAGTTACGGCCGCATGGTCAATCTAGATATATTCAACCGTACGAAGGACATGCTGTGGAAATCTGGCAAGGTGGCGGTCGGTGGGCAAGTGATCGAAGCAGAAAAATATATTGGTAAGAATTATCTGTGTGGAATTCTTCAAAACAAAGCATTTCTTTAATGATCTTAACTTCTCTTAATTCTTTCTGAAGCCCCAACAATTTTGACAGAAGTAACGGAATCAAATCCCATCATGCAACAGGACATTTTTGGCCCAGTTCTTCCTGTTCTGACTGTGAACAATGTAGATGAAGCAATTGCCTTCATAAATAAGCAAGAGAAACCCCTCTGCGTGTATGCGTATTCGAGCAACAACAAGGTATGATTCAAGTTAAGACACTCTATATTGACTGTAATATTGTAGTGTGAGTATTCTGATCATGTGTTGGACTTTCTGATAATGCAGGTCATCACAAGACTAATGAGTGAGACTTCTAGTGGTAGCTTTTGCTCAAACGACAGCATCCTTCAGAGTCTGATGGTGGCTCTGCCTTTCGGTGGAGTTGGTAAGTCAATGACAGCATAGTATAAATAATGGCAAACATGGAATAATATTTCCTGTTAAATCAACTCTCAATCTTTTTTTTGACAGGTGCCAGTGGAATGGGTTCCTACCATGGCCGCTACAGCTTTGATACCTTCTCTCACAGGAAATCATGCCTGCTAAGAAGCACACGGTTTGAGTGTGTAACCTATCTGCGTTATCCGCCCTATGAGGATCACAATCTGTCTCTCATGACATGGGCCAGCACCCTGTCCCAGAAGAGCCAGGGATGGTGCCACATCCTGTGACTGTGTGGGAGGGGGTTAACAGAGCCATGTTGGAAGAAGGCCACTCACTCCCCAAGTGCTGAACTGTTCTGACATGCAAATGTTTGTTAAAGTATTAAAAATGGCTGAGAATGTGCTGGGGTAAAGCTACATCTTACAGAAAAAAGAGCAATCTACATAGTAGTTGTTCAATCTCTGGCTAAACATAGTTTTAAAACCAACACAAGATACTGGCCAGTATTTAAAGGTGGTCTGCTTTAGTAACTGTACACCAACAAAATGTTTGGAAAATAAAAAGAATTGTCTGAAAGTTGAAGCCACTGTGAGGTTTATTACTGCTTATGTTCCCACATTATAATAATAAGAAAGTTGCATCAGGGTAACAAAAAGATGTTGGAAATTATTCATCAATTAATCAATAAACTGTGAAATCTCTGCAACATCAACCATCCACAATAACAAAATAGATCTACGTCTATTCTTCATGTGAGAACCTGGTTATTCAGGTCTTTTGTAGATAGTCTCCACACTGCCTTCTTTCATGGCTGCATATCTGGCCGCAGTGAACAGGTAGTCGCTCAATCTGAGGGAAAAAGATGCGATTTCTATTAGATGTGAAATACAGACATAATTTTCTCGTATTCATTTTAAAGCACTGGACTGACCTGTTCAAAAACTTGGCCACTTCTGGATCTGCCTCGCCTGATCGCACAATTGGAGCAACACTATAACAAGAAACAAAGATCTGTGAGAACCTTCTGTGCCAGAAAAGCAAGATATAGGGGGACATTTTGCGACAAACAGGGCAAGGAATATGCTGCAACCAACCTGCGTTCGGCTCTCCGACACACTGTCCGAGCCAAGTGCAATGCTGCGCTGCCCTTCCCTCCGGACTGTGACACAAAAAGCTCAGGTATCAGTGCAACAGAAAAACATTTACTCTCATGAGAACTCAGTGTCTTACAGAGGCTCAGATGGGCTTACAGGTAAAATGAAGTTGGTCAGTGGTGGCAGTTCTTCAGTAAACGTATCAATCCAGGTCTCCAGGTCTGAAATTGGCTGAGCTGCAAATTTTGTTCTACCTTACAAAAACAGAACAGAAATAAATCAATTAAATCTTCAATCACATTAGACACATTTTAAAGTATTAGTAAAGCCAGTGCATATGTAACAGTTGTAAATACATACTTATGTGGCTTTCTCTTGCAGATGATTGAGGAGTGGCGATATTGGAGCCCACGTCTTGTAAAATGCACTGTATCTGCAATTAATGGAATAATACTCTCAGAAAATCTTATACACAGTTGCATGTCTGCAATGAAAAAAAGGTTATTGAATGCAATATGCTAATCAAACCTTGTCCAGCTGATATGTGAAGGTGTGACCTTTGTCAAGGCAAAATTCTCTAGCCAAGCTGTAATGTAAAATTAACATAACATGGTGACTCAGTGAGGCAGATTATAGAAAAAGTTAAATTTGACTGGTGAATAGTAGAAACTTTACCCTATAGCTGATGACAGCTCGTCTGTATTTCCCAAGGCTTCAAAAATATGATCTTCCTTTGGCCTCCTTTCTCCTGTAAATGTGCTGGAGAAACCTTTTAGGGGGCAAAGAAAGAGTAAAAGAAGGAATGGATTCGTTTAAAAAAAATACTTATTATCAAAGTGGTGTAACATGTTTTGATTCCTAGTTAAAAAAACAACCTTTGTCTCCAGTTTTGGTGTATATTTTGGGTCCCCTGTTGTCTTCTTCAGTGGCATAACTGTAGGGAGAAAAGAAAATATGACAATACATTTGAAAAAAACTTTATAGTGAAAAATGTAACACGGCAAAATGCATGTACCCCTTTTGTTTCACAACAACGTATTTTGTTGTGTCCCCAGGTGTTTCAAGTCTCAGTTTCATACAAGACTCCATGTCGATACACTTTGATAAATTGCCTTTCTTTGATAAGTATCCCTGTGTAGTAGCTGCCTATAGGACTCAATGTTACATAATACAACATGAGTAGATGAATAACAGAACATGAATGTACTACCTTCTGCTTGAACACAATGTGTTTCTTGTCTGAGGCTCGCGTAAGAACCTACATGTCCTTACAACACAACGGAGGTGAGCAGGTTTTATGATAAACGATGCCATGTTAATGTAAGAAGCTAACTGCTAAAGGTGAACGGTATTGGGAAACGCGTTTTGTCCCTCTGTGGTGTCCGTAGTTTATGGGCGTTTCGTTTTCATCGTATGATTGGTCAACTCACCGTGTGGTTTGACAGCGCGGGACGCTGATTGGACAACATAATATATGTGCGGCAAGCTGCGGCGCTGATTGGATACTGGGAGCCGAACCCATGTTATTCCCTCCTTCTCTGAATCGGCTGTGCTTTTAACATGTTTTATCCACGCTGCTATGAAGCAAAGCACAGCAAAGCACTAACCCCTAACCCTGATGCATTTAGACTAAAGACAGCTCACTTAAACTCTCTGTATTCGTTGAGTCTTCATGAAGCGGCAGAGTTGTCATCTGCGTGCTGTTGCTTCAGAGGATTAACATTAGCTAGGTGACTGAGCTAGCTAATAATAACACAGTCAGTGACAAATTGGGCTTAAAGCTGCCCAGTTCTGGACGCATTTATTCACTCTGCAAACTGTTACAGAAATGACAGTCAAAGACGTATTCGTGTCTGCTCCAGGGAAGGCGATCCTCCACGGAGAGCATGCGGTGGTGCACGGAAAGGTAAAGTACTGCTGAAAGAGATGAAATTCAATGTATGAGATACATCTGGGTTAGTTAAGTTAGTCAGAGCAATGATGCCCTTCACAGGACCAACACCTTCTGTATCTGGGCAGTATAATGCAATAACAGTTGAAGGATGAATGTTGCTATCTTCCAGAAGCTTTCACTTCTTTTATTTGTTTGTTCATTTTATGTTTGTTTTTTTCAACAATCTTCTTATCTTATGTTTATCTTATGTTATTGAACTAAATCTCTGCAATCTGTAAACTATACTGTACAACAAATATCAACCCATCTTTGCACGAAAGATAACAACAATCATCCAATTAGCACCAATTTCCTGGAACATTACTTAAAATAATGTGCACTTAATTGTGTAAATGTCATTCATTAACCCTGTATATCTCTGCTCTATTATAGGTGGCTCTAGCTGTGAGTTTGAACCTGAGGACTTATTTACGGTTGAAAGGCACCACGACTGGCAACGTTTGCATCAACCTCCCAAATATTGACACTTTCCTCTGCTATGATCTTTCTGAACTGAAGCAGCTTATTCCTGTTTCCTGCGGTAAGGGATGGCGCAGCACTGGGGACCATTAACACCTACAAACATTGTTGTGCAGGCACAGTTTGGTGTGATTTCAGACTTTTCACAATGTCTAAAACAAGTCAAGTTTTTACTAATAAACAATGAACTCCAACACATATCATTATAAGAGTAGATGCCACAGCTTAAAATCAATATCAACTTACTATTGACCAGATGTGCATCATCCTTTCACATTACATTCTAGTGATTTTGATGATTGCTCTGTTTTATACCTCATGTTAACAGGTAAGCTTGAGGAGGGGAAACGTCTGGATGCTGAACTTGTGAGGAGACTGCGTGAATTTATCGGTGTCACCGATGGAAACTTGGACACTTGCAACATGGCCACCCTATCCTTCCTCTACATCTACATCTCACTGTTTGGATCAAGGTGAGATAGTTCTTCTCAGCATTTGTTCATTTTGTTATTGCATCCAGTTAGCTAAGATGGCCACAAAGATCCAATTACCCATTTCAGATATTCTACACATTATAGAAAACCAATAGACTTTATATAAAAAATAGATGTAGTCACTCTGGAATGACCCATTTGTTTATATACCAGGGTTCTGAAGCTTCGAGTTTGTCAGTCTAGCCGTCACCATCTTAGTTTTTTGTGACCATAAGTGACAATATTTTAACTAGAGTAAAACTGAACGCCAACCAACATTTTACTGCTAACTTTTATGAACTGAAAATGCAAATACAGAGATGAAATATAACACAGACAACACCCAAACCAGATAATAGCAACATGTCAGTCACAAGGTAGCCTCACCCTAAAGCATACCCTGCTTTATGTGAATTGTACTTTAAATTGCTCCATCATCTACAAAATCCACATTATGCTGTTGTTGAAGAACACTGAACACTTTTATTATTTATTTATCTGCTTTTTATATAACTGCAAAACCTTGTATGAAACGTACAGTCCGCCAGGCCAGAATATGTGACTACAGCACATGCTTGCATTATGTTTTTGTTTAAATTATACCAAATTGTTGAGCTCTTGTGAAACTAAATGCTGTATACAAAATGATTGGAATAAAAAAGGCATATACTAGAAATACTTAAACTGCGTAAGTGTACTCGCTATAGATGTAGATGTGTTTATGGTGTTGATTGCAATTTTCAGTGCCTCTTAAAAACATCCCTTCACTTTTTGATAAAGATCGTAAAGAGAGACAGACAGACAGACAGACAGGCCGGATGTTAGTGTGTCTCCAGCAGCTGCTAGGACAGAAAATGCTGAGGAACATTAGAGCTGCAGGTTGTGGAGAGGTTTAATCTGTGATGACACCGTGCTTCAGAGAGGTGATGCTTTCCGACAGGACGGCCACTAATGAGAGTCTGGCACTGGGCCAAACTGCAACCTTTAACAAGTCGGGATCTTTTTTTCCTCGAGAGAAGAGCCGGACAATTAGTTGAGATTCTCCTGTCTGCCCAAAAGCAGCTTCCCTGAAAGTCATTGACAGCATTGTCAAGCAATACTCTGGTGAATATAGTATAGTAGAGTATGGATTCCATAAAATTAAACACTACTTCTAGTTATGTTTACTGTGATATATGTTACATTACTTTACTTAATCATAGTTACAGTATCTAGTGTTTACATACAAAGAGAGATGAGATGGTTCTTCTCAGCATCTAGTTGGCAAAGTTGGTCACAAAGATCAAACTACACTTTACAGATATGCTACATACTTTAGAAAACCAATAGACTTTATATAAAAAGTAGATAAAGTCACTGTGAAATGACCCATTTGTTTGAATACCAGGGTTCTGAAGCTTTGAGTTAGGCAGTATAGCCGTCACCATCTTACAAACAGAGGCTCATTATTCATGTTATTTCCTCAGTGAGCTGCCCAGCCTGACGGTGTCCGTGTGGTCGGAGCTGCCCACCGGAGCGGGCCTGGGCTCCAGTGCTGCCTACTCTGTGTGTTTGGCTTCAGCTCTGCTCTGTGCAAGTGGAGCCATCCCTGCTCCCCTCAAAGAGTCGGATCAAAGTGCAAGGTAACAACGCTATATTAAAGGAATGTCTCTATGATAAGCTGTGTATGCAGTTTTTGTAGGCAACATTTTTTTAGGCCTGATGAATAGGATCTAAAAACCTAAGTAATGTGGTTTAAAGCTTACAGAGAATGAAAGACCTTGAATGACAACGTTATATTTCTTTAAAAGCAACCTTCATGGTTTGGAGTTAACACAACCGCATGAATGCCTGTTTAGTTTGCAATCCCAAATAGTGTCACCACACCTTCTCATTTCAATCTTTTAACCGTCCATTATTTTTATACATATTAGTAACTTGAATTAAGTTTTTAGGACCTTCTTTTTCTCACATGAAAGCCCTTTTAACTAAGATCTGTATGAACTGCACCAGCACTGCGAGGGGGACCCAAGTTCCCATCAGCTAAAACACGTCTGTTTGCTATCCTGGCTCCAAAATGGTGGAATGAGCTCCCCATTGACATCAGGACAGCAGAAAGCTTACACATCTTCAGACTGAAAACTCATCTCTTTTGACTCCACTTCGAGCGATAGAATTACTAACAAAGCATTTATACACTAACAAAGCACTGGCTTATCTAAAGCTAGTTGAGTAGCACTTGAAATGTTTTGGCTCTCTGAAACCTGATGTACTTATATGATTCTGTTTTCCTCAAGTTTGTATCTTCTTGGTCGAATGCACTTATTGTAAGTCGCTTTGGATAAAAGCGTCAGCGAAATGCAATGTAATAAAAAGTAAAAAAACTGTTAAAACAAACGAGAGCTATAGTATGTCAACTTTATTCTGATTGTGTCTCCATTGTTGTTGTTTTTTAATTGCATTATGTTGTAAGGTGTTAATACCATTTAGTACCAACTACAAATATAACATTTTAAATGGACCAATCACAAACAGCATCTGTTTAACTCATCCATTACACATCCATACCTAGAGTATTTACCCGTGTATGGCTCTGAGATAAAGAGGTAGTTAAAGATTTGGTCTTTGAGGGTCTGTTAGTATGCAAAGCTTTTTCTTTTAATTTACAACTAATTACAGGTGGTGTCAGGAGGACCTGGAGCAGATCAACAGCTGGGCTTTCCAGGGGGAGATGATCATCCATGGTAATCCTTCAGGAGTAGACAACGCTGTAGGAACCTGGGGTGAGGCATTCAATTATCTGGCATAGTACATATGGTGCTATACCTCCCTTTGTCTTTAATGGAACCACCACTGGTTATTATCATTTGATGATTATCTTTTTAATGAATTTGATTTCCCTGAATGTAGGTGGCATGCTGAGATTCTTGGCCGGGAAGATAATACCACTGAGCAGGTAATGACACTGATTAACACTTTTTAATTTGATTTCATTTAAAAAAGAGAGTACACAGTGAGTTAATAACAAGCATAGTGTGTTTTTTCCCCCCTCACAAAACACAAATATTATCTGGGTAAAATCAGTTCACCAGAATAATACGTGTGTTTGACCTTTCTGATCTGTCTGCTTTACTTCCAGGGTGCCGTTGTTAAGAATCCTGCTCACTAACACCAAAGTACCACGTAGCACCAAGGTACTTGTTGCCGGGGTGAAGGACAAGATTAACAAGGTACTAAATGGTTTCTTCCTCCCCCGCGTGTTACTTGCCGACACTGTAATTAATATAATAGGCGGTTCTTTTGCATAGCAGATACTCCGGAGCCTGGTGTTGAGTGCCTTCATAAAATATTGAAATTAAACTCTTAGCCAGCGCCCCTGTGTGCTGTTGCCTTGGTGACACCAGCAGGTGTGCCTCCGACATAGATCGGCCTGGTTGGTGTTGTGGCAGTGTTGTGATCATGCCGGAGCAAAACCACAATCAACA